CTCGCAAGGACCCCACTCTCACATGGCCGGGGGGCTTCGAGGAAGACGGACGTGCCGCGGGGGCTCCCTGGGAGTCCCCCCCACCGCGATCGCCGGCCTGGGACCGCCAGCGACCGGGTAAGTACCGAAAGACCGGAGGGTGTACTATTACGCCCGGCGGCGTTTAGAGACGCTTAGAATAGGGCGTAATAGTACGCCCTCCGGTCTTAAGGGGTTAAACCAGTTATCAATAGCGAAGAGGTACTTAAACAATATTGTAATTCTGGGGCAATATCCTTACAAGTCAAACTGAGAGGTCAGTTTATAGGGGAAACTGTTGCCTGGATACAATTCTAAAACAATTCCCATATGTCCTTTGCAGACTTCACATGCTGGAAAAACACAGGTGCCAACTGTTGTGGCTTTCTGCAGTGTGCATACCGGCAAGGAGGGCAGGGTTGAGGAGTGGGTGGAAGATGATGTGGAGGATGATGAGGTCCGAGACCCACATGGAATCAAGGTCATGCGAGTGACGTGTGCGGTTTGGAGGAAGAGGTGCTGGTCGCACAGAGGCATCAGCACAGCATAAGAGGGAGCAGCGGTCGTACGACCAGGACCCAGTATGTCTGATGTAGAAGTTAGGAGTCACAGTGTGGAATGGATTAGCAGGGTCTGGTGCAGGGTAACCGCACGCCCCCTGGTGTTGAGCACCAGCGTTTTTGCAGCCACATACCAGGACCCTGATGCAGCTTCAGTACAAAGAGTACTGGATACCAGAAGCCATCACCAGACTGATCCGCAACTTGGAACAGGATGTGACATTCACTGTAGCGGCTGTGCTTGCTTTTGGAGTTCTCACCCTGATGCTGCTTGCCTGTCTGCGCTGCAGCGTAACATTGGCCTTCGCACTCACTGCCTCATATGCGACGTGCCCACAAGGTGGAACTCCAAGGGAGTATGATGATCATAGCAATCCCTTGTAGTGATTTAGCAGTTTAGCAGTTCCAATAAGTTTACAACACGAGACGAGGCTGCGAGTTGAGGGTAAGAAGGTCTGAGAGTTTAATGGTACAGGTTGGATTTTTATACAGTTTTTAAGGCCAGAGGCACACCCACTGGACCTATGTCCCTTATGACACAAGGGACATAAACCAATGAAAGCAGTAATTAACAGTACAGCACTCCCACATACAGTAAACAATCCCTCCCCTCTGTCTGTGATATAATTAAGGTAGTTAATGCATTAACTTAATTATCCAGAGGCATAAAAAACACACGTTTTTACAAAGTCCAAAAAGTACCCCAAAACATTTCCCCATAACTCTTACATCCCCTGATAGCCCAGATCTGGGTGAACAGCATATCCAAAAATCAACCAGATCAGATCAGGGGTTCAGAAATTCTATGGAAGTCATCATTTTGCCCAAGCAAACACAGGATTTCATGTCCAAAACAGTTCCATTTAATCGCAACTAAGTGCCGCTGGAGGACCAACCGGGAACTGCGAGGTTTTCATGCTGAAAATAGTTCCAGGGCATTTGCGGCTAAGTCCCCCTGAAGTCTAATTACGATTTTAGCCCATGCGAACAAGATGGCCATGAGTTCGAAGAACCAATGTTTAAAGTTCCAATAGGCACAATTAGAGTCCCTCAGCCAAAATAAATTAAAGGGGCCATAATCACAGGGTAAAAGGCTGGCAAGTAGTCCTCTCTAAAGCCCAGTGGCGAAGTGGCTTTCGTCACACTAAACCTGCTTAAATGCTACTAGAACAGCAGACCCAATGAGAGAAGCTCCATGAAACATATATTTGGGAACTGTGGATGACTACTAGGCCTTCATCTTCCCTAGCACCAAAACAACTGGTTACACAACATTTGAACATCATCAATAGGAAGCTAGTGTAACAACTGGAATTAGATAAACTACAGAAAACATCAACCATGAGTAATCTATACTTGAAAAGGTTTGCCAACCTGAATCCTTGCTCCAAGAAACCCCCCTTTATTGTTATTTAGTGCCCCCACTCACCGCGCATTGGAGGAGGCCGGGCGGGGGGTGGGGGGGAGGGGTGGGGGGTGGGGACCGGGGGAGAGAACAGTATGTCCCCCCCTCAAATTCTTATGTATGGCCCCCACCCACCGCTCAGGGGTGGAGGCCGGGGGGGGGGGACAGTAGCCCCCCCCCATTGTTATTTAGGGCTCCCACCCGCCACTTAGGTGGGGGGAGGACAGCAGGTACCTCCACATTCTTATTTAGGGCCCCACCCTTAATCTTTTACAGTGAGCAGCCAGTGGCTGCTCACTGTTTACTAGACACGCCCCTACTCGCGGTATAGCGAGTAGGGGCTGAATTTACTAATACTAAGTAATCTTTACTTAGTATTAGTAAATGTGTCTGAAAGACCAATTTAGCTCTTTCAGCCTTTTGGTAAATAGCTCCCTATTAATGTTTGAATTAGGGAGTTTTCTACTAAATGGCTCCTTATTTTATGTTATTTTTAAGTGACTTCCCTATCCACATTTGTTTGCAGGGCACTTGTCCTACTCTTACCTCCATTTTACTTCCTTTTGCAGCCCTTTAGCCCTTGCCAGGAGTTTTTTAGAGCCATTTTTGTGCCCAAAAGTTTGGGTCCCCATTGACTTCAATGGGTTTCAGGTTTTGGGTTCGGGGTCAAGTTCGATCCCAAACCCGTACTTTTTTCAAAGTTCAGCCGAACTGGACCCGAACATCCAGGTGTCCGCTCAACTCTAGTTAACACAATAAAGGAATTTAAGCATATATTCCTAAGGCTATCCTAACTGTAAGATAGTGCCAGGGACTAATGAAAGTATTTTAAACAATTGGCCAGGCTAGATGGGCCGAATGGTTCTTATCTGCCGTCACATTCTATGTTTCTATCCTACTTATGGTAGGTACTAAACAAAGCATACCGGGAACACCCCACAAGACTTGCTGTTTTGGAGATACTCTGACTCAGTTGTCTAGTCATCACTATTTGGCCCTTGTCAAAGTCACTCAGATCTTTTCACTTGCCCATTTTTCCTGCTTCCAAAGTATGATATGTAAGAACTGACTTTTCACTTGCTGCCTCATATATCCCACCATTTTGACAGGTGTAATTGTAACAATAATCAATATTTTTAGCTTCACGTGTCAGTGGTTTTAGTATAGTGGATAATCAGTGTATATATGCAGTCTGTAAGGGACACTAGTCTCTGTTGCCCTGCTACCTACCAATCATTAGACAGTCATGGCTAGGGGATGTTTTCCCATTTTGACTTGTTGCTTGACTTGTTGCTTTTTATTCAAGAGACCTAGGAGTTTTGGCAAATAGTCAATTTTATGCAATATAAGTAAAGGTTTTTTGTTGCATATTACCGAAATCATCGGAGATCCTACTAGCTTTATGTTTTCAACAGTCAGACTCATAAGTTTCAAAAATGCTGTGTCATCGTATTCCATCCTGTGTCCAAGGACTATTGAGACTATTATGTTCGCAATAGCGGATATAATGGTCACAGTGTTATCAATTGACTTTCCTTAAAAAAAAAGAAAAAAATTACTCCTGTAAGTCAAATTTATTATCCTGCTTAGATTTTGAAGGAACACTCTGGGCACCATAATAACATTATCAGAATTAGGCCACTCAATGAAGGACCTAAAAATCAAAGTACTGAAAGGGGTTTTTAAAAATACCCCAGAAGTAAATCTTTTGAAGCCAGAATGATCAAATTGCTTAACAGCAAGAGGACTAAATATTTATTTGGGTTTCCTGTCCCTGTACCAACACTTTACATGAACACTCCCCCACATTATCTTACTGTTCTGTTATATGTATCGACATTCTAAAATGCATTCCAATATGTTTATTCTATCAATATACAAAGTATAGACCTATGCTTTCCCATACCCTTATGCACGTATGCTCATATGTGACTGTGCCTTTATATTTGTATATATGAGTTCATGTGCATGTATGTATATGTGTTGGTGTGTATGTATATGTGTTCATGTATTTATGTGTATGCGTATACATGTATGTATTTGTGTGTATGTATATAGTGTAAATATACATGCATACATGGATGTATATGTGAATAAGTGCATGTGTACATATACATATATTTGGGTCTATATATGCGTAGGCACTTTGGTATATGTGTAGGTGTTTATGTGTGGATGTATGTGTAGGTGTGCATGTACATATATATTGGCATTTGGTTGTATTTATATGTATATTGTATGTACTTGTGTATTGCGTTTATGTTCTTGTGTATACTTGTACATATGCACTATTTGTGTATATGTACATGAGTGTGAGTGTGTAAGTGTGTCGGTGTATGCTGGATATAGACCTTCATGCATATCCTGTAACTCTTGGATGGGAATTCCTGCATTCTTTATAATAATACTCCCCCATTCTAGCAACATCTTCTGCACTGTTCGTTTGTTTTTTCGCTCTCTCCCCCTCACTATGTGATCTTCACATAAGATATTTACGACCCTCTGCAAGAATGGTGTCTATGTTCTATCAAACCTGTCTTATCTGCACTCATGTCGCTTTCACGCCTGTATTATAACTCAACTTTGAAGTCTATCTGTCATCTTGCTCAGCAATGCTTCAGACTTGATGTAGCCCAGGAATGTGAATTAACCCCATCATGGCATACCACTTGTAATTGTAGACAACCCAGGGTATTCAAAATGGAGTATGTCCAATCTTTTGTAGTAGCCACTTGCCAAAGATAGCGTTTTTTTTTTCGTTTTTTAAAAACAAAAACTGCATTTTCACTGACTATATCATTGTTGTGATAGGTTTTACTGTTTTGAAACACTCATATTTGTGCTCTGCGAAGTCTCCGAGTATAATAGTACCCCCATTATTTTATAGTGTTTTTGAAAGTTACAGGGTCAAATATAAGGCTTGCCCATTTTATTGTTTTTATTAAAATTTGTCATATTAGTTATGTTGCCTTTGAAACCGTATGGTAGCCCAGGAATAAGAATTACCTCCACGATGGCATACCATTTGCAAAAGTAGACAACCCAAGGTATTGTAAATAGAGTATGTCCAGTTTTTTCTAGTAGCCACTTAGTCACAAACACTAGCCAAAGTTAGCGTTCATATTCGTTTTTTGAAATTTTCACACACAAACAAATATAAATTCAAACTTTGGCCAGTGTTTGTGACTAAGTGGCTACTAAAAAAGACTGGTCATACCCATTTGTAATACATTGGGTTGTCTACTTTTTCAAATGGTATGTCGTGGTGGGGTTAATATTCATTTCTGGGCTGCCATACCGTCTCAAAGGCAACATAGCCAATCTGGCAAATAGCAAATTACTAAAATAGAAATTGTAACTTTGCAAATCACCATAAAACCTATACTTGATTCGTACTTTTGTACTCGTGAGACATTACTGTACACAAATATGAGTGTTTTTGACCACTAAAATGTATTATACTGATACTATCATTGGTGAAATGGCAGTTTATGTGTAAAAAATGCAAAAAAAATAAATATATAAACTAAGTTTGGCCAGCGTGGCTACTAAAAAAGAGTGGACATACCCCATTTTGAATACCATGGATTGTGTACTTTAAAATATATATATTGTTTGATGGGGGTAAATTAATTTGTCCAGCTTCAAAAATGTCCCAAATAGGACCTGGGTGTATGATGACCAGCTGTGAAAATTCCAATTGGAAAACTGGAATCCTCCAAATATGGTATTTTAGCCCCCAGAGAACCCAACACACCTATACATTGGTGGTATTACTGTACTCAGGAGATGTTGCTAAACACATAATGGGGTGTTCTTTGGCAGTAACCCTTAAAGTTCTCAGTACATGTATTCTTAAATTGCTATGTGTGTCAAAAATTTGGCATTGATTGGTGGTAAAATGGTTGCATGAAAAGAGCATGAAAAGAGTCAAAATACCCTGAGGGTAATACTTTAGTTTTTTTTTTTTTTTAATGTAATTTTTTTTTTTTGAAAAGGCAGAAAGAAATGGGGGTACAGAAAGTAGAAAAAAAGGGGGGGTCAAAATGATCCCAGCCTCTGATCTTATCACATTGTGTAACATTCTTTTCATTGTTGAACATGCATACATTGGTAATTACAGTATTGAATATGCATACATTGTTTATTACAGTCAGCCAACTTGAATTTATCATTAAGCATCATTATACAACTGTCTATCTCTGTGTGTGTTTTGCACTGAAGTATCTCGTAATGTGTATCTGTGGGTGTAGCACCCTCGCAGATTGGCCCTCTACGAGATGTTGGCTTCTGCGGCTTACACCTTGATGGTGTGGGTTGGGGCTCGTGTAGGATTTTGGGGGGGTATAATAATGTGAGCCAAGGTTTCCACATTTGTTCCGTTCGTTTTGCTTTCTCGTGGGAATCAGAAGAAAGTATCTCATATCTATAATATTGGTATAATTTGTCTAGTAGTTCCTTACGTGAGGGACAGTATGTGCTTGTCCAGTGTTGGGCCAAAAGGTTCCTAGCTGCTAATATGAAAAGGGAGGCTAATTTCTTAGCCACTTTCTTCCACATGTTTGGGAAGAGCAACATGAGTGCCACCAATGGTGTGAGAGGTGCCGAGTAGCCCAGCGTTTTTTCTTAATATTTGTTGGACCTATAACCAATGGGGTCTAATTGTGTCACACTCCCACCATCCCATCTCCAGCATTTGGGGTTTATTACTGGATATATTTGATGGAGTCTCTGTGGTGTCAGGTACCATTTATAAATTACTTTTTTGTGGACTTCTATATGTGAGAAGCAAGATGTGAGACCTTTACGAGCATTATGTGATTGGAGCCATTGGTCGTCTGTAGGTTGTGATATACCCTCTTTTTCCCATTGGGATACATATTTGAAGGAATGCGGTCGTGTGTGTCCCAAGAGGGTCTTATAGCACAAGGATAAGGCCCTGGGTTTAGTCGGTGAAGATAAACACCTGGAAATAATAGCTAGTGTGTGGTTCGCTTGTGGCGCTGTTGATTGAGGCTGTAGGGATACCTTACTGTGCACTATACTAAAGTGTGATGTGCATATATGGTGTAGTGGTCCATAATTGAGGGTCACCATTTGTGGGGCATGTAGAGCTAGTTTCACTCCTAAGTACGTAATGTGTTTTTGTCTCCAGTCAAAGCTGAAGCCGTGGTGTAATTGGCTTACCCGTGCTGTGGGTATGTGTAATGGTAGAGCTTGTGTTTTAGTGCTATTAAGTTTATAGTAGTCTTATAATATGTTTATGAGTCGAGGCAAAGATACCTCCGGTTCACTAAGGGAAAGTAGGATATCATCAGCAAACATGGATAATGTGTAGTCAGTGGCCTTTATGTGTATTCCAGTGATGAGTAAATCTTGTCGGATTTTGTAGGCTAGGGGCTCCAGTTCTAGTATAAAAAGAGGGGAGGTTGTCTTCTTTTAAAAAATAGACACATGTGAAGGGTAGGAAATACATGTGAAGGGTTATTTAGGGATTCCTGACAGATATTAGTGTTACAATGTAATTTTGAAAAAAATGGTTTGGAAATATCAAAGTGCTACTTGTACTTATTGCCCTATAACTTGCAAAAATAAGCTAAGAACATGTTAACATTGGATATTTCTAAACTCAGGACAAAATGTAGAAACTATTTTTCATGGGTGTTTTTTGGCGGTTGAAGATGCGTAACAGATTTTGTGGGTCAAAGATAGAAAAAGTTTATATTTTTTTTAAATCATGATATTTTATATTTTTTTATAGTAAAAGATATGATATGATGCAAATATTGGTATCTTTAGAAGGACCAATTAATGGCGGTAAAAACGGTGTATAATATGTGTTGGTACAGTAAATGAGTAAGAAGAAAATTACAGCTAAACACCAACACTTCAGAAATGTAAAAACAGTTCTGGTCCCAAACGGTTAGAAAATTGAAAAACGGTCTGGTCACTAAGGGGTTAAGAATCTCAGAGAAGCAGGACAGGGACAGAGATAAATGGTGCATGAGATAAGATTTTGGGTTAAAACGTTTAACCCCTAATGGTAAGTAGATACCAGGGACCTTCTGGCATCATCACAATTTATTTCCAGTGTATTTGTTATAGTACCCAGAGTGTTCCTTTAATTTACATGAAATCATACATAAGTCATTCAACTAATAATTGACAAAACTATAATTTGAAGAAAGGAGATATTTCCCAATGAAGAGGAAAGGTTTGTTTATTACAGTAAGAATAATAAATATATGGATTTTCTAAATTAAGTGGTTGTTTAATCAGATGCTGCAATTTTTTAAAAGATTTAATTTAACAGACATTTTTAAGAAATGTTTGGATGTTTAAAAAATAAAAAATAAATTTAATAGTCAAGGACTTAATAATATGCAAAGGAACAGCTTATTGATCCAGAATTTGATTGCCATTATGTAGTGGAGAATTAGTAGTCACATAACATCGTTTACACAAAATAAAAAAGGAACAATGTCCCTATAAAACGGGACATGTAGTGTGTCCAGAGAGCTTCTTTAACAGATGTAACCCTTAAAATTGAAACAAAAACCACTAAAGTGATCAAAGGACTTAAAGTCCGAGGAACACAGCCAAAGTCCTCTGAGTAAGCAAATACATATATAATGGATTAAAGACACATTTTATTGTAGAACATAAGTTTAGTTTAAGGAGAAACCTACAGTCAGAGATAGGAGAATACACATATCAGAGTTGTAGGTGAGAGAGGGTTATAGAGGTATATAGGGCTTAACCCTTAGGTACATAAATAGAAAAATGATGAGAGAAAAATGAGGAGACTGATATCCCCCCAGCGCACAGAAGATCGGTACACGGATTAGAATCCCTACTATTCCTAGTGCAACCAACACACCTCACCTCACCCCCTGCTGCTTCGAGGCAGCCCCCTCTCCCCTCCCCCAACTAAACTAGAGACCTTAAATTAAATCAAACAAATAGCCTGAGAGGAATATAAGTCACTCTATCGTGGTGTAAAGTGAAAATAAAAACAGAAGATTTTATTCCAACTTGTTACTGTGTTCTAGTTTAACTAAACGTCTACGCTACATTTGTAACGTTTGGGGTTCATTAGATACATTAAGTAGCAAGAGGTATGAGTCACTCCACCATTTTCCCTACACTTCACACGTTATCACATTTCTGTGTGTAGTTTGTGTTTTTCTGTTTTTTTATTGTCCCAATAAAGCTGTTTTTACTCTATATTGATACTAATTTTAAGTTATCTCTTATGAGCCTGATTTCCATTTCCCTTATAGGGGGGCTATCAGTCTCATCATTTTTCTATTTAAGTTTAGTTTAAACATATGTTCTACAATAAAATGTGTTTTTAATCCATTATATATGTATTTGGATACCCAGAGGAATTTGGTTGTGTTCCTCCGACTTCATGTCCTTATTGTTTTCCTTTTTTTTTCTTTTTGGATAGACAGCACATTTTATCCAAGGGAGTATGATGTTGATTGACATCAGTCTTTTTCTAAACCTAAATTACTTTGTAATAGTAGACTTTTTTAACATTCCAGGATTATATTACCGTACCATTGAATGACTGAAACTGGAGAACCAAGTGATCACATTCATCTATGATTTTCTCTTCTATGCTGCTTTTTCCCATTCCAAAATCCCTTAAGGTTGTAAGAGTAAATCGCCGCATAACTTTCCAGTTCTCTCCTTGAGAAAATACCAAACCTGCATGGAAAGCTGTTATTATTTCCTAATACAAGATACTATGTGAGAAAACAAAACAAACAAAAAAACAGTTTTTCTGCACACATGAGATTCAAAGAGCTAAGAAATGAATATTAAAAATGAAAAATAATGGAAATTGACTTGATATTATTGAATATGTGCCCTAAACATTGCTGTTAATGGCTGCTCTACTGGGTGCATTGGCTGTTTAAATTCACCCAGAATTATAGGTAACAGTGACATCTGTGAGAGCCACCTGTGGCTGGACTCCTTACAAGTGAGAGTGCCAGCAACAACCATTCTGGGGACTCAAAAAGCACTTTGTTACTTTATTGTTTATTCAATTTTCTTGATAAAAGCGATATGCTCAATGGATTGCTTGTGCCGTCCTTTAAGAGGTTTAGAACATGGATTGGCAAACTAAGGCAAATATGTAATTCACGGCTTGGAGTCATGTTTCCAAATCTTCTATTTAGTAAAATAAAGGGTTTTGCAGTTTAGAACGCAGGACGGAGTGGAACTGCAGGGACACTGTTAAAGTACC